GGTGAGAGCGGGGCCAGTGAGGGGGCAGCAGTGGGCGGTGAGAGCGGGGCCAGTGAGGAGGCAGCAGTGGGCAATGAGAGTGGTCCTTTTGCATGATGGCGGAGGTGGTAGCCTCCTGGGGATCCTAGCGATCGAGCGGCGCCCGCATTACTATGGAGATGGGACTTGGGACTTTTTTTTCTTTCTTAACTTTTGGCTCTGTTAAATCTTTTAATTTTCGCTTTTGTAACCAAGTTGGTGCCAGCGAATGGAGACTTTGTGCACTTTTCACTGTATTTATATATTCCTATACTTCGTACATGTGACATATAAATCTAAATCTAAATCTAAGAAAAAAATTCATAACTCTCTGAGAAGAAATTTCTCCTCATCCCCACCTTAAATGGGCTACCCAATATTTTGAGATTTTGCCCCCTGGCCCTCACCACTTCTGGAGGGGAATGGATGGAGGAGAATATGAGTGATGGATTAATTAAGCCTGCTCAGGAAGAATGGGGGTGGCTTCATTGCATTCTCTGTTTCTCATTTTGACCTGTCCCAAGGTCTGTCCGCCTCCCTACCCTGGAATCCCGCCCTCCCTGACCTTTCCCATCCCACTTCTCTGGTTTTGCCAGGACTGGTGCCTCTATTTGTAAACGTCAAAAAAAGAATTGCATCAGCTACATCTTTTAATTTTTTTTTAATTCAAATGCATTGTGCCAAAACAATAATACATGAGTCACTTTAAGCAATAAATGCACATGAACTTGATGCATAGATTTAGGAATTGATAACCTAAAAAATGAAAGCCTTTTCACAGGATGGGTTGTTCACAGTAGATGCCTGATAGCTTTAAGCCTATATTAAAATAATCCAGCCTTAATATATTACATTTCTTTTACATTTATGTTTATTACTGTTTAAATTAATGATTTTCAGTATTTGTTCATGTACTACACATTTGTGCGTCAGTACCAAGAGGCACATTTTGTCAGTCCTGATACTCTTAAATTCTGATGATAACTGGGGAGTTTTCTCAGTCCTGATGCTTTGGGACACTCTGAGGTATCAGAAATTTAATGGGCACTTTTGCATGCATGGTCTTCAGCCTACCCAGTGCTTGCTGCACCTATGTGATTCTGTGCAGACCTGGAATAACCTCCCTTGGGGAACGCGTGAGTTTGGGTTGGACAGGAGATTTTTGCATCAGACAAGCAAAGCACAGAAGCTACGTGAAGGAGAGAAGAAAGCATCAATGAGGCTTGAGGCCTAGTTTCCTCCTGGGCCCTTGAAGACAGGAGTCCAAAGTATTTTTTAAGTTTTGAACCTGCCTCACCTCTTTGACTCGATTTGAGGAACTAAGGGATCGGATAGTAAAGTCTGAAAAGGGAACAGACTTGTCTTTCACTTTTCAACACTCCATCTGCACATGGCCCTCCACTATAGGTCACTGAAGGTAGTGGATCTTCTACTGACTCCTGTTTTTGGACAGTAGCCTGTAGGCCCCAAAGTCACTGTTCCTGTTGGATTTCTTTTTCTCTTTCTGGGTGCAAGGCCCTAGCACGGAGGAGGGGACTACATGCCTATTACTCTGTAGGCCTTGGTGAATGACATGAACAGGCTTGAGCTGAGGTTTATGGCACACACAAGGTTATATAGTGAGTGTGTTCCTTGTGACCCAGGGAGCTGAAAAACTAACAGCATCTCTATCGGCTCAGCTGTAGCAATAAACAAGAGTGCTCTTCATAACTGCAGGATTTCCCAAAGCATTTTACACCCAGTTAAACACTTACTTGAGGAGCAGCTCCTGTTGTAATTCAGGAAGTGAGCAGCTAATTAGCAAGGCTGCACAACTGTAATGTGATAATGACCAAATAAAGTATTTTATAGTTGATGATAGTTGAGGGATAAATATTGGCTGGGCCACCAGTGGTAATTCCCGTGCTCTTCTTTGAAATAATGCCATGGCCTCTTTCGTATCCAGCTAAAAGGCAGAAAGGACTTGGTATTTCATGGGAAAGACAGTACATTCAACAATCCAACACCCCTGCAGTGCTGCAGAGAAATGTCATTCTCATTTTATACTCTCAAGTTCCTGGAGTAGGAACTAAATTCACATTCAATGTGGTCAATATCAAGTGACCGATAGGTATCATACAGATTACAGAGGAAAGTTATTCTTTGTGCTATCAAGTGAAGGGAAGCCACAATAATTTGGACGATATATCCCTGGTGCAAAGAAGGATCAATTACTTCATATTAACTCTTGAAATATTCAGCAGTTCAGGCAACGGTTGGGGAGGCAGAAGAAAACCTGCAGATATTTGTTACCTAAGAGCCTTTCTTAGAGCTGAAACTTATTATAGATGAACATCATTTGAAAAGGAGCCTAGCAAGAGGAAAAGGGGAAGGGAATCAAAGGTAAAGGAGGATAGAGTGGCACCTTACTCTGGCAAGGTAGAGAAGGGCATTGACCATCTTCCTACAGTGCTGGACCTTCCTCCATGCTGAGATTGCTCTAATCCAGGTGGCAGCCTCAGACCAGGCTGGCACAGTCTGGTGCCATGGCCTCTGCTAGTAGTTTTCGGACAAGAGGAAGTCCCACCTGTGCACCAACCCACCTAAAAGGACATCTAGGGCTTTGCCCATGAAACGAGGCACTGACTTCTCCATCCCTGCTATGTTCTGGGCCAGTATCAGGAACCTTGAAAGGCCAGCTCTGGACTGACGGTGTTTGTCCAGGTGAAAACATAGGCTTTTATAGATGGCACTGGCAGAAGGGATGCTGGTGAACTCTGGGATACTAAGCAGTGAATGTTTCCGGGAAAAGCCCATGACAAAGTGGAGGCAAAACCAAACTTGAGAGACACCAGGTGGGGCAGGGTAGGTCATCAATGAGGCAGGTTTGGTAAAGTAGGATGAGAAAACCCTCGCAGTGAGAAACCTCCAAACATTTCAATGCAACTCAGCCTTAACCAGAAAAAAAAAGCATGAATTTCTTTTAGGTCTCCATTATTGTTTTATCCTCAACAGTCAGGTCATTTGGTTTAAAAAGTTGCCTAAAAATATTTTCAGTAAATGAGATAAAAAGAGGCAACCTGTTTATGTATAAAAAGTAAAGTCATCATAGTCCTACTAGACCAGAAGTCTGCTCTTTCATTAGAGAGACAGAAAGAGAGAGAGAGAGACGACTGGTGATGGTTTAACTTGAGGGTTTCTGTGCCTCAGGTAAAAGTAGAGGTTGAGAAGGACAGTGGCCTCAGTAGGAATTGAACCTACATCACTCACTAGCCATCCAGCCAACTGAGTTGCATCATAAATCCTGGAATATAGTTTCACACTTCTAATGTGTTTCACAAATTAAGTGAAGGCACAAAATGGATTAAGGTGAATGTGGATTAAAAGAGGTAAAATGATGCTTCACAGAGAATAAAAATAGCAGAAACTCAGTCATTTCAGAACATTTTGTCTATTACTATCTAACCGACAAGCCAGTAATATTCGGCAATACAAAGGACCTGAGAAATATAAAGCGCATTTTTAAAATATAGGAGATGTACTGGTACTTTCAGTGTTTTGATGATTGTGATTTAATGTAGTTTTAATCTTATGTCAAGGCAATACTGCTGTAGCAGTACAGTTGTCACATGACAGATAATTTTAACCTAACATGCAGACCAGTGATTGGGTGGAACATTCATTGGGTTAAATTGGTTCTAAATCTTTCAACAGTGACAATCGCTCGGGTTTGTGCATGCCCATTAGAGATGGCAAAATAGCTGTGTTGGGATAGGTGGTTCAAAGTGAGGAAGCTCAGAACTGAAGTTACATTGTGAAGGAAATGGGCTGGTATTAAACTGTGCCCCAAGAGAATAAGGCACGGCATGAGGAATGACCAAAACCAAAATAGAGAGAAGTGCAGGACAAACTCAGCAGGTCTGGCTGCATGTGTGGTGAGAGCAAGAGCAAGCCCAATATGAGTCTTCTTCAGAACTCTGAAGAGCAGCCATTTTGATTTTGAAACATTAACTTTGCTTCTATCCCCACTGATGCTTGCCAGACCTGCTGAGATTTTCCACCACCTTCCATTTTTATTTCACAATTTTAACACTTGCGGTCATTTTGCTTTCATTTAGTAAGGAGTTACTCAACTTGGGAAGAAACTAATGTATTTTTTTTTAACCAGCAACCATCTTGAATCAGGCTTCCAAAATGAGCTTACCAAAGTCAGACATTTCACAGGTAAGGCCACGAGGAAGGGCATGACTGGCTGGGAGTGAAAAACAATCGTGATCGTAGACTGATAACAGCCCACAGCAATTCCACGGAGCTGGGAGGGCCGGTCTTGCTTCTGTTGGGTCCACATTAAGGTAAGTGAAAAGAGAACAAGTATAATTTTATGGACCACCTGTTTGACCTTGAATGGACCTTAAGGCAACAGTTGTAGGGCGCATCAAATCTATACTGAATCCTTCTGCAGTTTTTGACATATTTAGCACTGGCACCACAAAACATGGTCCTTGAAAAGCATACTTGAGAGGACTAACGGTTGAATGAGATGAAATATAAAATTGCTGAAAGTGCTGGAGAAATTCAACAGGTCGGGGAGCATCTGTGAAGACAGAAATAATGTTAATGTTTCAAGTTGAATATGATACTCTTTCAGAAAGGAAAGGGGGTGATGGTTTTTATGCTGCTAGAAGAAGGGGCAGTGGAGAAAGTAGAACAGCTGGTAAGCGTGCCCTGGAGCAAAAAGCAAGGGGAGTGCCAGTGGAAGCAGAGAAAAGATATAGATGAAGAGTAAGTGTTAGTGGTGATAGCTGATAGCCAAAAATAGGTCAAGGGTGGCACAATGGCTCAGTGGTTAGCACTGCTGCCTCACAACACTAGGGGCCCGATTCCAGCCTCGAGCAACTGTCCGTGTGGAGTTTGCACATTCTCCTGTGCCTGTGTGGGTTTCCTCCAGGTGCTCTGGTTTCCTCCTACAGTCCAAAGGTGTGCAGGTTAGGTGGATTGGCCGTGCTAAATTGTCGATAGTGTCCAGGGATGTGCAGGTTATGTTGATTAACCATGGGAAATGCAGGGTCACAGGGATAAAGTTGGGGGGTTGGGTCTAGGCGGGCTTCTCTTTGAATGGTCAGTGTGGACTCAATGGGCTGAATGGCCTGCTTCCACTCTTTAGGGGTTCTTCAATTCTATCTGCTGAGAGCAAACCCATACAAACAAGACACTGGGAATGATGGTATTGGGTAGGAGGTCTAATCAAAGTAGAAGAAAGAATTCATAGTGAATAAATACATTCCATTCAATTCCAAAGAAGACTCACATTGAACTCAGACATTAACTCTGTTTCTGTCTCCACAGCTGCATTCAGACCTGCTGAGTACTTTCTGTTTGTGTTCCAGATCTCCAGAAAAGGCAGCACATTGACTTTACTTGCACTGGGTAGCTATCCAAGCACTTATAAGTCTCCAGCAGGGTAAAACTCATGTCCAGGGGGTCATGCCCAGGAATTGATGCTGCCTCTCACACCTAACTTGAATTTTGCACCAAAGCAACAGGCAAGATTGGGAAGAATTCCTCTCCCACTGCTTACAGGGAAGGAAGGGAAAAAATCAGTGATCTCACTGTGGACTGACGCTGATCCAGTTCGTTTCATGGTACAGTACTACATTCTTAGCTGCCCAGACAAAGACAAACAGCCTACAAAAACAGGGGTTACAATGGGTTGCCATTGCACTACATTGAAACAGGTTTAAAACATGCTCTATATACAGAAAAGAGCAGAGCCAAGATTTGAAACCAGCTTCCCATACAGACTGTTGGATTCAAAGGGAAGTAGGTTACTTATGCTGCAAGAAGTCCTTCAGTAGTTTGGGTAATTCCAGCTGTGGAATGAACTGTAAGCGGGCTCTTCCGAGACAACCTCGAACACACAGGCGGCACAACTGGCACAGGGAGCTCGGTGTTGCTGCAATTAAAACATCCCAAGGTAAGTAGCTGCCAGAAAATAATGGCATATACATTTGTCATTGCTCATGATCACACTATTGGTATATTGGAACACTGAAACTCCAACAATGTCATTCTAAAATGCATGGGACTTTACTATGGCCATCCCTGATATTCATTAACACTGGAATTCTCTCATTCGATTTCTCTGTCTTTGTCCTCTTGTTTAAAACTCTTCTTAACCCTATCCTGTTGTTCTACTATGTACTTACATCATTCAATATCAAACTTGATTTGACCACACTCCTGTGAATTACCCTCAGATGTTACACTACATTAAAACCAATATTTAAAAGCTGGATCAATTGTTAATTTTAAATCTGTCATTGATAGATTTCATCAAGTTTTATTAACCCAAATGTGTTCGGGTTTAAATTTAAGGATGTTACACTCCATCAAAAGCACTGTTTAAAAGCTGGATCAGTTATTAATTTTAAATCTGTGAATGCTAGATCTAATAGATTTTTACTAACCAAATGTGGTCAGGTAGAAATTAAAGAATGTGGACTTGTGCTGCAGATCAGGCATGATCTCATTGATTGGCAGAACAGGGTTCAGGGCTAAATTGCCTAACCAATATTCTGCACTACTGTAGGAAAACTTTCCTGCTTTTATGTGGCATTCCCTTTGCAATAAATAACAACATTTTATTTGCCTGCCCTAATGACTTGCTACACCTGCAAACTAACTTTATGGGATTTCTGTAACTGGACACTCAGATGGGGTGGCACATTGGTTAACACTGCTGCCTCACAGCACCAGGGACCTGGGTTCAATCCACAGCCTTTGGTGACTGCCTGAGTGGAGTTTGCACATTCTCCCTGTGTCTGTGTGGATTTCCTCTGGGTGCTCTGGTTTCTTCCCAATCCAAAGATGTGCAGGTTAGGTGGATTGGCCATGGGAAATGCAATTGGTGGGTGGGATGCTTGTTGGAGAGTCAGTGTGGACTTGTTGGGTCAAATGGCCTGTTTCCACAGCAGAGGGATTCTATGATGACCTCTCAGTACCACAGAGCCCTGAAATCTCCCTCTATTCAAATAGTCTACTGTTTTTTAATTCTTCCTGCAAAATGGAAACATTCACTTTACAGATGTAATACTCCATATGCCAAATTTTTGCTCACTCACTTCAACTGCCAATATCCCTTTATAGACTCTCTCCCTCCTTTTGACAACTCAGTTTCCTCAGTATCTTGGTTTCAGTGGTAAACTTAGCTACCATATATTCAGTCCCTTCATCCAAGTCACTAATACAGATTGTAAGTAGTTGAGACACCAGCATTGATCCCTGCGATGGTCCATGAGTTACTGCATGGAAAACCAAAAAAAGGACCGATTTATCTCTAGACTCTTCTCCTGATGGCTAACTAATCCTTTATCCATGCTAATATGTTACCCTCCATGCTGTTATCCTGTGAAACAACCTTTGATGAGGCACATTATCAAATACCTTTCAAAATCCAAATATGTGCTCATCTCTATCAACTATGAATGTTCCCTCCTCACAAACTTATTTCAACGCGAGTTTCCTATCATAAAGCCATGTTGGATCTGTTTGATCACATCATTGTTTTCAAAGTATCCTGCTATAAATTACTTAATAACGGATTCTTGAACCTTCCTTGTGACAGATGTTAAGCTGACTGGTCTTCCTGCAGTCTACATCCCTCGCTGCTTGATAGATTTATCTTCCTTTATTCTATGGGAATAGATAAGATAGAGGCAGGGAGGTTGTTTCCACTGGTGGGTGAAAATAGAACACGGGGGCATAGTCTTAAAGTAAGCAGGAGCAGATTTAGGACTGAGTTGAGGAGGAACATCATCACCCAAAGGGTTGTGAATCTGTGGAATTCACTGCCCAATGAAGCCCTTGAGGCTACCTCATTGAATGTTTTTAAGGTAAAGACAAATAAATATTTTGAACAGTAAAGGAATTAAGAGTTATGGTGAGCATGTGGATAAGTGGAGCTGAGTCCATGAAAAGATTAGCTATAATCTTAATGAATGGGAGAGCAGGCTTGATGGGCTAGATGGCCTACTCCTGCTCCTACTTCCTATGTTCTAGGACTTGCCATTTCTAGAGGCCACATGACACTGACGAAAGAGCAGTGCTCTGAAAGCTTGTGATTTCAAATAAACCTGTTGGACTATAACCTGATGTCGTATGTCTTTTGACTTGGTCTACCCCAGTCCAACACCGGCACCTCCACATCATTTCTAGAGGGCAGTTAACAGTTAGCAACATTGCTGTAGCACTGGAGTTATCTATCGTTCGGACCTGATAGAGATGGCAGATTCCCCTGCCTAAAGGAGGCTAGTGAATCAGATGGGTCATAACAAAAATTGATGAGATTTTACATGGTCACCATTACTGTGACTAATTGTACATCTCAGATCCCTGCGGTGGTCCATGAGCTACTGCATGGCCAACCAAAAAACCCAGAGTTATCATTGAATTGAAACTCAGCTGGAAGCCATAGTGGGAAGTGATCCCTTGTCCCCAAAGTTTTAACCTAGGCATAGCTGGGTTACTAGCCTAGCAGCATTACCACAATAGCATCAAGTATGAAGAATAATTGTGGTTGAAAGGTATAACTCATGTCAAGACATTTCACAGCAGAGTGTAGTGAAACAAAAATAAGCTATACCCATCACTTCACCAACATGCTCAGTTTTTTGATTTGGGATAGCTTTTCATTTTGCAAATGGAAGCAAAATCCTAGTGGTACCATAGCTGGATTTTTGATGTTCTGGGGACCCGAGTTTGAATCCTGCCACAGCAGATGAGTGGAATCTGAATTTTGTATAGATCTGGAATTAAGAGTCTAATGAAGACCATTGTCAATTGTTGGAAAAACCTACCTGGTTCAGTAATGTCCTTTAATGAAGGAAACTGCCATCCTTACCTGGTCTGGCCGACATGTGACTCCAGGCCCACAGCAATGTGGTTGACTCCTAATTGCCCTCTAGGCAATTAGGGATGGACAATAGTCTAGCCAGCAATGCCCTCATATCAGCAAAGAATAAAAAGAAAAGCACTTTACCTTCATAATGCAGAAGCAACCTGTCCACTGGACTACTGGTGACAGCGACATCAATAGGCCTCTCTGCTTCAGCATTTCTGGCACTAATGTCTGCTCCAAACTCAAGCAGCATCTTAACAATTTCTGGATTGGACTGACGGGCAGCAGCATGTAAGGGAGTCTCCAAATGTTTGCCTTTCTGGACATTGGCACCTGCAGTACAGATACGAAGCAACACATGACACAAGAATGAATTCACTACTTTCAGGTAAAGTAAAGAAAAAGCAAGTGGATTTATACTTCACTTTTCAAAGCCTAAGGATATCCCAAAGTACTTTGTATCTAATGAAGTACAGGTGTGGTCATTATTATAAAGTACGAAATGGGCAGCCAATTTGCTTACAGCACGCACACACAGACTGCAATGTAATATTGACAAAGCCAACAGAGCCATAGAGGTATACAGCAGGGAAACAGACCCTTTTGCCCAACTAGTCCATGTTGATCAGATTTCTTAAACTGAACTAGTCCCACTTGCCTGCATTTGGCTCATATCCAACTAAAACTTTCCTATCCATACACCTGTCCCAATATATTTTAAATGTTGTAACTGTACCCACCTCTACCGCTTCCTCTGGCAGCTCATTCCATTTACTCACCACCCTCTGTGGGAAGACGTTGCCCCTCAGGCCCCATTAAAATCTTTCCCCTCTCACCTTAAACCTATGCCTGCCACTTTTGGACTCCCCTACCCTGGGAAAAAGACTTTGGCTATTCACCCTCTCCATGGTCTTCATGATTTTAGAAACTGCTATATGGTGACCCCTCAGCCTCCTACACTCCATAGAAAAAGAATCCCAGCCTATCCAGCCTCTCCTTTTGACTCAAGCCTTCCAGTCTCGGTAACATCCTGGTAAATCTTTTTTTCAGCTTTTCCAGTTTAGTAATATGCCAATGTCTTGTACATGACGTGGAGACGCTGGTGTTGGACTGGGGTGGACAAAGTCAGAAGTCAGACAACGCCAGGTTATAGTCCAACAGGTTAATTGAAATCATGAGCTTTCAGAGCACTGCTTCTTCATTAGGTGAAGTCCTGATGAAGGAGCAGTGCTCCAAAAGCTTTTGATTTCAAATAAACCTGTTGGACTATAACCTGAGATAACAAGGTGTAGAGCTGGATGAACACAGCAGGCCAAGCAGCATCAGAGGAGCAGGAAGGCTGATGTTTTGGGTCTAGACCCTAACCTGATATTGTGTGACTTCTGACAATGTTGTGCACATCCCAACTCTCTAATCAACCTGTTCAGAGATGTTATGGCACATCTCTGGAGGAGGTGGGACTTGCATCCAGGCCTCCTGACTCAAGAATAAAGACACTGCCACTGTGTCAGTACACCAGAGGAAATGCTTTGGAAGCCTTCCTTTAACAGCACCTTCTAAATTCATGACTTCTATCATCTAGAAGGACAGGGGCAGCAGATGCTTAAGAACAATATCACTTGCAAGTTTACCTCCAAACCACATACCATCCTGATTTGGAAATATCTTGCCATTCGTTTAGTGGCACTCAGTCAAACTCCTGAAATTCTCTTCCTAACAACACTGTGGGCATACCCATTCACAGCCTATTGCAGCACTTCAAGATGGCACCTTAGAACCATCTGCTCAAATGTATTTGGGTATGGGCAACAAATGGTGGCCCAGCCAGCGATGCCCACATCCCATAGACAATTTTTTTAATGCTGCCCATGAGGGGAAATAGGGCCTTTATTTAAGGTTTTAACTCATTGATCAGACAATGCAGCACTCCTTGAGATTTGTATGCAAGGATCAGCCGAGTTTTTCTGCTCTGGTCTCTATGGTGGAACTTGACAATTATGAGTGGGTCTTGTGCTCACCAGGACTCCCATAAGCACACCAGGGCCTATGGTAAAAATCTTGGAATTTTAAAAAAAAGCGTCTAATGGTGACCATACAGCCATTGCTGATTGTCATTAAAAAAAACACATGGTTCACGAATGCCCTTTAGGGAAGGAAGATATATATCATTCCAGAACCACAGCAATGTGATCGACCTTCAACTCTGTGCAATTAGGGATCTGGGCAATGAATGCTGGCCTTGCTCAGTTACGCCTTCAACCCATTATGAATGAATTTTTAAGAAGTTTACCCTATTCCTGCAACATATTGGATTTCTACATTCTGGAGCACAGAGATCACCACAATAACTTTTGTTTATTATCAAAATGGACAGATAATCTTGCAATGTGAGATCACTTTTTCCAATATGGTCAAGTATAGGCACAGGATATTCCATTCGATCAACTGGTTTCTCAGAGTATAGGTTGTTGGGCACCCTTCCCTATTTGAATAATTAGCTAGCCAAGATATCGGAGAGGCATATTGTGCTATCTTCTGGTTTTGCTCTCAGTCCTGTCTCTGTCTTCTTTATCGTGAGAGGTTGTTGAGCAGAATAACATAAGTTATATTTCAGAGGAAGCTTGCTAAATTCAAAAGGAAAAGACAATCTGGAAGATATTCTGTCAGGATCAAATTAAAATGGATGGGAAGAGACTTGTCCAAAGCATGAATGTGGGCAGGAACCAGTTGCTGTGTCATTGCATGTGATGGAAGAATATATTGTACTCCAAAACTACAAATGGACAGTTAGTTAGCATTGCTAATTATTTGTAACGTCTTTGGGATTGCAATGACATTTCATTTTAAATTGAAACAAATCCTCACTGAGAACAATTGTGGCAAGAGAAGAAGAATGGAATGGTCTAAGCAGGACAGAGCTCAATAAATCAATTAAAATCTTCATTATTTGCGTGTAAGACCTGAATACAATTAATTATTAAACTTCGCCACCATAAGACCAGAAGTCATAGGAGAAGAAGTATGCTACTCAAGCCATTGAATATGTTCTGCTATTCAATGAGATCATGGCTGATCTGATAATCCTCAAGTGTACTTTCCTGCTTTTCCCCACAGCCCTCATTCCCCTTACTGATTAAAAATCTATCCATCTCAACCTTAAATATACTTAATAACCCAGCCTCAACAGCCCACACCGGTAAATAATTTTACAGATTCACGAACATCTCCCCATGATGTAACTAAATCCAAACTGCCATTGTAATTGCAAAGGGTCTCACCTGCATGAAGAAGCTTTTTAATGCAAAACAACTGTTGATGGACACAAGCTACATAAAGGGGTGTTCCCTGATGAGAGATATCCAAGTCAATGTCCACACCCCAGGAGATCAACACTTGCATACATTCGCTGCGACCTAGTTACAAAATCAAAGATTTTGCATTGATAACCATGGTTGAGAAATTAAGAAAAGTGTACATTCTTATGAAACATAAGCAGCTATGTGTCTATCAGATCTCCTCTCCTTCTATCCAGCAAAAACTGTCCCAACTTCTGTCAATCTATCCTCATAGCTGAAGATTCTCATACCTGGAACCATTCTTGCGAATCACTTCGGCGCTTCTCTCCAATGCATTCACATCTTTCCCAGAATGTGGGGATCATAACATTACACAATACGCCAGCTGAGGTTGACCATTAGAGAGACTATCTGTGTGTTTTCATAAAGTTAAATGAAATGTAATAGGCTAAATTAAACTGGCCCCGGGGAGGCAGGCTGGGATCTGGCCAACCCAGTGGAAAACACATGAAGAGTTGATTACACTGATTCCCTAAAATGAGAGTTGTTTTGGTACTTTACTAATGGCAGGGTTAGATGGAGACTGGTTGTTGCTACAAGAAAGTAGGCTGCTGATTTACAACGGAAAGACTTCTATCCTTTTGCTGATCATAGACATGCATTACATATTGCTACATCTGTATATTTATGATTGTGCATAAGTATGACCTGGTTAGCTTAGGTAGTTGTCCAGCTGGCTTGAAATGTAGATGAGTGCCACTATTGTAGGTTCAATTCCTGTACCAGCTGATGTTACCATGAAGGACTCTCCTACTCAACCTATTCCCTCGGCATGAGAGACATGGTGACCCTCAGGTTAAACCACCACCAGTTATCTCTCTCTATGGGATGAGGACAACTTTACCTTTACATGTGTATGCTATATTTCCACAAATGTTTGGATGCTGTTAGGTGAAACATAATGAAAAGTGCGAAAATGCCAAAAGGTGAATGTGTGAAGGGTTGACGGCGTTTTTTCACTCTCCTCTGACCCACTAAATATTTTCCAGGAACAAAAACAAAGTTGCTGGAAAAGCTCAACAGGGTCTGGCAGCACTGGTGAAGGAAAAGACAAAGTTCATGTTTCGGGTCTGGTGACCCTTCCTCATATTTAATATTTCCTCATTTCCAAATATTTCCCAGGTTTTAATGTGCCTAATGTTTCTGATTTCCATCACGCATGCTGTTTTGTATTAGCTTGAAAAGTGAAATGGTCTTGGTTTGGATTAGTAACTGACCTTTGCTTGATGCTTCATGAATGGCTGAAGCGCAACAGTCCTGCCCTTGTAGTTTGGCACCATTCTGCAATACCAGCTCTGCACAACTCGCACTGCCACTGGAACACGCATTGAACAGGGGAGTGATTCCATCAATAGTAGTGGCATTGACCTTTGAACAAATTTGGGACAAAAATATGAGCTAAACGTTACAAAGGATCACAGAATCACAGCATTATTATAGTGCAGGAGGAGGCCATTTGGTCCATCTTGCCTGCTGACTGGCTGTATTATCTAGTTAGGCTCTATCATCTAGTGCCAATCTCCTGCCTTTTCCCCTTATTCTCACGCACCGTATTCTTACTGTCCAAATAAATCATCCAGTACCCTCTTGAATACCTGAATTGAACATTCCCCCAACACATTTCAAGGGAGTGCATTCCATACCCTAACTACTGCTTGTGTGACAATGTTTTTTCTTACATCGTCTTTGCTTCATTGTGTATCGCTTTAGATCTATGTCTTTGTTGTAGGAAGGATGTTGTGAAACTTTAAAGGGTTCAGAAAAGATTTACAAGGATGTTGCCGGGGCTGGAGGGTTTGAGCTATAGGGTGAGGCTGAATAGGTTGGTGCTATATTCCCTGGAGCACGAAGGCTGAGGGGTGACCTTATAGAGGTTTATAAAATCATGAGGGGCATGGACAGGGTAAATAGACAAGGTCTTTTCCATGGTGTGGGGGAATCAAAAACTAGATGGCGTAGGTTTAAGGTGAGAGGGGAAAGATTTAAAAGGGACCTAAGGGGCAACTTTTTCATGCAGAGGGTGTTGCGTGTATGGAACAAGCTGCCAGAGGAAGTAGTGGAGGCTGGTACAATTACAACATTTAAAAGGCACCTGGATAGGTATATGAATAGGAAGGGTTTAGAGGGATAAAGGCCAAATGCTGGCAAATGGGACTAGATTTATCTGGGATATCTGGTCGGCATGGACGAGTTGAACCAAAGGGTCTATTTCTGTGCTGTACAGTTCTCTGACTCTGTGCCTCTTGTTTCTTTTACAAGTGCAGACAGCTTCTCCTTATCTACTCTGTCCAGCCCACTCATGATTTTGAAAACCACTATCAGATCTCCTCTTAGCCTTCTTTTCTCCAGGGACAACTGCCCCAACTTCTTCAATCTATCCTCATAGCTGAAGTTTCTCATACTTGGAACCATTCTTGTAATTCACTTCAGTGCTCTCTCTCCAAAGCCCTCATACCTTGCACAGAATATGGAGCCCACAATTGTACACAATTACCCAAGTGAGGTCTACCATTGGAGAGACAATCTGTGTCTTTGCATCAATTTAAATAAAATGCATTGGGCTGAATCCAACTGGCCCTGGGAAGCACTGAAAAAAATCATGAAGAGTTGCGTTGCAGTAGCTCCCTGACACGGGAATGTGTCTTGGCATTTTATTATTGATAGGGGTAGGCTGCAGCCTTAAGAAAGCAGGCAGCCAATTTACCAACATCAAGGCCCCTATTATGGGATAGTTTACCTTAGTAACGGCATTTTGCCAATGTCACAATGTTTTTCCACCATGTGAGGAGTTTTTTTCTCTTCATTCACAGGCTGCAGGCGTTGCTGGCTGGGCCAGCATTTATTACCCATCCCTTATTGCCCAGAGGGAAGTTAAGAGTCAACCACATTGTTATGCGTCTGGAGTCACATGTAGACCAGACCAGGTAAGGGTGGCAGTTTCCTTCCCTAAAGGATATTAGTGAAACAGATGCATTTTTCCCAACAATCGACAATGGATTCATGGTCATCATTAGCTTATCAATTCCAGATTTTTGTTGTATATAGGCTTCGAACCTGGGTCCCCAGAACATTACTTGGGTCTCTGGATTAACAGTCCAGTGATAATGCCACTAGGCCATCATCAGTTAAAGCGATGGCAGCACCCATGGCCAGAATCCATCTCCCTGGAGTGATTTCTCCTCAGACCCTTGGACCTATGGAGGATCTAAATGTATTTTCTTCCCCCATTTGCTGTAAGCTCAAGGTCACCCACGTTCCTCAGTAACACCCACCTCTCTCAGTGCCTGTTGTTGCTCCTAAGGTTACAAAGCTGCCAACCCACATGATTGGGCTGTGATTGAAAATCAGATCGGCTGGCATATAATGTTTATAAAGTAAATGTGTCATCCAAGTTTCTTCCCGAAACAGATTGATCCCCCTCCCAATGTCATTGCAGCTTCTGCTGATATCAAGGAGAACTGCAGCTATTGTCCAGAGGCATGGAAGATTACTGTTCCATATGTCCTGTGTGCACTTGTATCACAAAGGGCGATGAACGTGCGGCCTAATGCTTTTCTTTTTTTCCTTTAGTCATTCACGGGATGAGGGCGTCACTGACCAGGCAGCATTTATTGCCCATCCCTAAATGCCCAGAGGGCAGTTAAGAGTCAACCACATTGCTGTGGGTTCTGGAGTCACATGTAGGCCAGACCAGTTAAGGATGGCAGTTTCCTTCCCTAAAGGACATTAGTGAACCAGATGGGTTTTTCCTGACAATCAACAATGGATTCACAGTCATCATTAGGCTCTTAATTCCAGATATTTATTGAATTCCAATTCCACCATCTGCAGTGGTGGGATTCGAACCTGGTTTCCCCGAACGTTATCTGGGTCTCTGGATTAACAGTCGAGTGATAATACCACTAGGCCATTGCCTCCCCAACATGCTCTTTATGCTCTTTAGAATATTGCTGGGAGTACAAAATGATGGTTTCCGTATCGAATGGCAGGTTATCCCATGCCAGCTGTTTTCGTAAAGAGGCGTGAATCATCCTGAAAACTGTTCTGTAATTTGAAGAGGATGAGAAATGTCTGAAATGAGGGCAAGGGCTTGCATTAGAATGGTTTAGTCAGTGAAACAGCAAAGGAGCTGCTGCTGAGGAAGATTCTATTGAAGAAGAGCTTGGTCATCTACAGGATAGAGGGCTAAACCACAAATGTAGAACAGCATATAAAGAAATTGGACAGAGCAGTCTAAGAAGTCCATTCTATCTCACCTTCACACAGAACTTTACCTCACCAAAATCCATGGATGTAGTAGTCCAAGGATGTGCAGGTTAGGTGGATTGACCGTGGGAAATGCGGGGTTGCAAGGGTAGGATTCGGGGCTGGGTCTGGGTGGAATGCTCTTCGGAGGTTTAGTGCAGATCTGATGGACTGAAAGGCCTCTTTCCACACTGTAGGGATTCAAATGTCAGCAAAAGACACAGCCTAATATTCAGACATTTCGTGGATCAGAAGCTATCACGGCAGCTGGCAGAATTTAAATTCAGTTGATAAAATCTGGAATAGTAAGCTAGTCTCAGTAATGATGACCCATAAAACTCTCATTAATTGTTGCAAACCAATGCTTCCCTGATGCCTTTTAGGGAAGAAAATCTGTTATCCTTGGCTGAGGTGACGTGAGTCCAGGCCCACAACAATATGTTAGTGTTAAATAGTGTCTGAAATGGCTCTGGAAAACCACGCAGTTCAATGATGATGAAGGATAGACAACAAATGCTGGTCTTGCCAGCAACACCCATATGCCATTAAAGGAAAGGAGAGGAAACTGTAACAGTACAATTCATACCAATCACCTCAGGATACTTACATTGGCACCTGCTTCTATGAGGGCTTTTGCACAGGCTACGTGGTTCCCCAGACAGGCATCGTGCAGGGGAGAAACATGATCTATTGTCAACGTGTTGGCACTGTGACCCTGTGGAACACAGCAAAAGTTACAACAGATCAAATTGTTAGAATGAATCAACCAAAAACAAAACCCAAACTTCCTACGCTGCTTTAATTGTGAATGGCTTTCCTTCTTCCTCCCAAATCTCACTCAGGGGGTTGGTGACTTAATTGAGGTGTGCGAAGTAGTGAGGGGCTAGGATAAAATGGACATGGAAGACAAGGAAGCTTTCCGCTACTGGCAGGCCAATTGCCAGGGGCACAGATTGAAGATGATTGGCAGAGGAATTAGAGGGATCATGAGGAGGAAGTTTCTCACACAGAGGGTGGTGAGCATCTGGAAGTCATTGCCCAGTTGAGTGATTGAGGTGAAAACCCTCAACTCATTGAAAAAGAACGCAGTTCTGCACCTGAAGCACCATAACCTGCAAAGCCACAGTTGGAAAGTTTGATTAGGATGGATGGCTAGTTGGCACAGACATGATGGGTTGAAGGCCTCTTTCAGTGCCATACCTTTTCTATGGTTTTATGGGTCTTGCAAGAGGAATAAGAGGGCAGGGAGCAATGTCATGGACAATGGAGTAGAGAAATGGGAAGTGTCTGGTGTCCTATGTGTGTGGTGGATGGGAGGGGGCACGTGAATGTAAATAAAATGTAAATAAATGTCAATAATAAAGCAGAGAGGAATGATGTGAGGAACTGTAGGGCTTGGAGTGGAAAGGTGAGTCTCATAAAATATCAGATTTCAATACCTAGAGATTCTAGGAAGGAATTTAACTGAACATGGTAAATAAGTTCAGTTTAATATCAAAAAGAAAGAAAAAACATGTAATGTGATTAGGATTAGTGGTAAAATAGAGTGTTGGGGAAGTTTTAAAATCAACAATAGATGACCAAAAAAATATTGAGAGTGAGAAAATAAACTGAAAGCAACCAACAAGTAACATAAAAACAGACAGTAAGAACTTATCTAAATATAGTAAAAGGAAACGAGAGGTAAAAGTTAACACAGCCCCTTACAGAATGAGGCTGAGTAAATAATAACGGAGAGCCAGGAAATAGCACAGGAATTCAATCAGTTTTCATATTAGACCATTCTAAACTCCCTAAATAATAAGGGGCTAAAGTGAAGGAAGAGATAACAGTAATAACTCTCAGTGGAGAAAACGTAGCAGCGAAATTAATGAGCCTAAAGGCTGATAAATCTTCTGAACCTGATAGGTTTCATGCGAGGGTTTTAACGGAAGTAGCTAGTGAGATAGTGGGTGAACTGGTAGTAAGCTTCCAAGAATCCTTACATGCGGAAAAGTTCCAAAGGATGGAAAAACTGACTCAACACGCTTATTCAAAAAGGGAGATAAAAAATATGGTAACTATAAGACACTTAGCTGAACATCTGTTCATAAGAAAATGCTGCCAAGTGCATTTAAGGGGATGGAATAATAGAGCATTTAGAAATTTAAGGTTCTTGAATAAATTAGTAGCTTGGGTTGTGAATGCTGTGGTTGGTTAGCTCGCCGAGCTGGTTCGTTAATTCGCAGACATTTCATTACCCTGCTGGGTAACATCATCAGTGCAGCCTCCGATGAAGCACCGATGTGTTTTCCCGCCTGTTATTTAAACTCTGGAGTCAGTTGGAATTGGTTATCTCATTTCTGATTTTCCTTCGCAGTGGTGTATTTACAGGGTCTAGTTCTATGTATTTGTTGATGGCCTTCTTGGTGGAGAACCAGGCCTCTAGAAATTCTTGTGCTTGTCTCTGTTTGGCCTGTCCTAGAATCCTCTCAATTGGGACAACATCAAGATCCTAAGACAGGCCAAACTGAGACAAGCACAGGAATTTCTAGAGTCCTGGTTCTGCACCAAGAAGGCCATCAATAAACACATAGAATTAGATCCTATATATACACCACTGGGGTAACCAATTCCAACAGACCCCAGAGTTTAAATAACAGGTGCGAAAACACACCGACGCTTCATCGGAAGCTGCACTGATGATGTCACCCAGCAGAGTAAAGAAACGTCTGAGAACTAACGAAGCAGCTTGGCAAGCGAACCAACCACTGCAGCATTTAGAAATATATAATATGATCAAGCAGAGTCAATATGGCTTCCTGAAGGAAAAATCATGCCTGACAAATTTATTAAAGTTCCTTGAAGAGATAACAAACAGGTTAGGTAAACAGGAACCAATAGGGGAGGCAATGGCCTTCTGGCATTATCATTAGACTATTAAACCAGGACTCAACTAATATTCTGGGAACCTGGGTTCAAATCCCGCCATGGCAAATGGTGGAATTTGAATTCAACCAAAAAAAACTCTGAAATTAATGGTCTAATGAGAACCATGAAATCATTGTTGTTTGTTGAGGTTGGAAGCGGGGTGGGGGTTGCAAACATCTGGTTCACTCATCTCCTTTAGGGAAGGAAACTGCACATCCCTACCTGGTCTGGGCAATTAGGGATGGGCAATAAATGCTGGCCTGGCCAGAGATGTCTACATCCTGTGAGTGAATAAAAAAAAGTTTCGATTTTCGTAAGATACCATACATAAGGCTACATAACAAAATAAGAGTCTATAGTGTTGGAGGTAACATTTTAGTATGGTTAGAGGATTGGCTAACTAATAAGAAACAGAGTTGGGGTAAAGGTGGCATTTTCAGGATTGAAACCTGTAATGAATGAACTGTCACAGAGATCGGTGCTGTGGGCATAGTAATTTACTATATACAATAAAGACTTCAGATGTTGGAATTGAATGGACTATTATCAGATTTGTGGATTGTATAGAAATGGATTGAGAAGGCAAGCATTAAGAATGACAGGAAGAGCCTGCAGAAGGATAAAGGTTAAACAAGTGAGCAAAAACTTGGCAGATGGAATACAATGTTGGAAAATGTGTGGTTTTGCACTTTGGCTGGAGGAATAGAAGAGTTGTCTATTATTTAAATTAGGAAAGAATGCAAAAAGCTGTACTATGAGGGATTTGAAAGTCCACATGCATAAGTTACAAAAAATTGGCATACAAGTTCAGCAGGTAATAGGACCATAGCTTTTATTCCAAAAGGGAATGGAGTATAAAAGTAGAAAGGTCTTGTCATTAGGGACACACTAGCCAGACTATAGCTGTGATTTGGTGAATGGTTTTGGTCCCCTTATCAACTAATAATAGATTGGCATTGGAGGTAATCCAGAGAAGGTTCACTAGTCTGATTGCAGAAATGAGGAATTGCGTTTGAAGAGAGACTGAGTGGGTTGGACATGTACTCATTACAGTCAGGAAGAATGAGAAGAGACTATATTGAAACATATAACATTCTTAGGAAGTTTGACAAGGTAGATATAGAGGTTGCTTCCCCTTGTTTGATTTTGATTTGATTTGATTTATTGTTGTCACTTGTACCTAAGTACAGTGAAAAGTTTTGTTTTGCGAGCAATACAGGCAGGCCATAACATACAAGGAGATACAGATCATAAGGTGATGGAACAGAGTGAGGCATACAAAGTTATGGCTGCACAGGAGATGTACAAAAGCAAGATCACAATTAAATTTGATATTGTGGGAAAGTCTAGAATCAGAAGGCATAATCTCAGAATAAGGAGTTGTCAATGTAAGACAGATGAAGAGGATTTTCTTTTTGTTTTAAAGGATAGAATTCTTTACTGTGGAATTCTTTACTGCTCAGAGCTATCCAGATTGGGTTAAATGGCCTACTTTTTCTCCTTCAACTTACATTCTTAGTTAATAGAGCTTTCCAAATGATTAAGTGGTCCACAAAGCACCTTACAATCAATGGAACACATTAGAAGTGCAGTCATTGCTGTAAAGTGGAGACTGTAACAGCCAACTTGTATGCAAGGTCCCGCAAACATCTATTAGATAATAGTTGATAATCTCTTTCAGCTGGTTGAGGGAAACAGTGAGCGGGCGGGTAAGTGGAGCTTAGTCTCAAACAGATAGCCCTGATCTTATTAAATGGCGGGGCAGGCTCGAGGGGCCAGATGGCTTACTCCTGTTCCTGATTCTTATATCCTTATGTTCTTATGAAACCATTTGGCCAGGAGATTGTAAGGGAGAATGTCCCAGTCCTTCTTGGAAATATTGACATAGAATCATTTATTCACATCCAGGTGAACCAGATAGGAACTCAGACCTTTCATCTCAAACAGCACAACTGTCAAAGTAGCACTCTCTCAGTACATCACTGAAGTGACTGCCTGAATTGCATACTGAAGTGTCTGGAGTGGGACTTGAACCTACAACCTTCTGGAAAGAATGTTCTAAATCAGCCAACTCTAACACTGAAGTGGAGGAAGAAAGGCTGGGGAGACTGCATTCACAAAAGCCCTATGTACCAATTGATGTCCAAGGTGATTTTAAATCCCCCAAAACAGCTAATATATTAAAACTAGAGGCACTGGTTACACAGTGAATGTAGAAGTATGTTGGCCAAAACAGTGCAGATACATAAACCACACAGTACATAATTGCTTACCTGTGCAAGCAAGGTTTTGAGGGATAGGAGGCGTCCCTGACTGGCTGCCTCATGTAAAGGTGAACGGTCAGCCCAGGAACCTTTCCAACAAGAAAATAAAACAATAAAAGAAGGTGATCAGACTTGAAGGAAGTTCTCATTTACATGGCTACATTTACATTACATGTTCCTATTTACATGACACTTGCAGTGTCAATAACACACCTCATTTCAATAGAAAGGACAAAACATTTGTGAACATTCATTGTACTTCAAGATAGCTTACTGAGTTAACAAAATGAGCAAATAATTTGTAAAAACAATCATATTCAATTTTTCCTCCAACAGTATGTGAGGATGAGGGATACACTAAGGAAGATCATGGTTACTAGTCACAGCAATGAAATAAGATTTATATTCATATATTACAAAAATGTAAAGGGAAATGGGGGTATTTATTCTGTTGGTGGAGTGCGGGGTTTGGTGAGAGGGAAAGGAATGCCAAACAGATGGAGACAGCATCTACAAACAGAGAGAGAGAGAAATAGAATATATATATTTGTGTGAGAGAGAGAGAAGAGAGGAGAAGCAGACAAAGGGATTGCTGATGATAAGCCAGGAGAGAGATAAATGCTGAATGGGTAATAACAGGAATTTAATCATTGAAAATAGGTGGCTCTGCTGTAGCAAGCCCAAATAGAACAGAACCTGGGACCATGGGGATGCGGAAAAAACATGGAAGAACACGTTCGCATTCTGAAATAGTTAATTTCAGCACTATAGCAAGCCTGAGGTAGAAATGTTGGCACGGTAACATGATGATATGTTGAAGTGGCAGGCAACTGAAAGCTTGGGGTCATTGTTAAGGTAGACAAGAGGTTTTTCGCAAAGTAATGACCCTGCCTGCATTTTGTCATCAGCATAAATACCACCATTTCCCGGCTGCTTTCGGTTCTGAACAATGGTCACTGGATTTGAAACTGTTCTCTTCACAGATGCTACCAGACCTGCTGAGTTTCTCCAGCACTTTCTGGTTTTGTTTCAGATCTCCAGAATATGGAGTTATTTGTTTTAATTTTATAATACATAATTTTTTTGCGGGAGAGTGGGGGTTTGGGTAGGTGTATAAGCTTGAGCCCTCAAATATTCGTTATTTCTGCCAAATGACTGAGTTTAAAATTTCCCACAATGCAGAGATTGCAAATAATTACATTATTTACAGATGAGCTAAATCAAAACACATAAAGTCAATAACTGAATATCAATATTATTGCAACATTCATCAACAAATTGTCCATTCACTGCATACCTACAGTATGTGCAATTACATTAAATGTCCAATAAATGAAAATATTTGGTGCTTATTTATATGCGGCTAAAAGAAAGATGTTGATATCACTGGAAATATTAAAGTGATATGTTATTCGTAAGATGATTTGGTAATTTCCACTATTTTTGAATTGTTCCTGCAATTATTTCCTGAACAATAATAAATACAGGTAATTGTCTATAACAAAGTGATAAGAATGACTTGAAAAGTATAGGCTTGATTCCGCAATTCCATACTTTCAGTAGGGGGAGTGTGCACACAGTTTGCATGTAAATCAGTGATATTATCAGCCTCATTCTCCAACCTCCCTCTGAGTGCTGCTCTGTCCTGGGAATGTAGGATCACAGAATTATTGCTTTGTTGGATGTTGGCAAAATTGGAGTTAATATGATGGAATAATTTCTGTGTTTCTCCATTTGAGAGATCATCTGAATCCTTAATTTTCTCACTTTTGAGACCTCTATATTATGTACTGGCAAGCTTTTGATACCTTGCATAAGAGGCAATCTTCCTGTTAAGTGCCTAGCTGGTGAATGTTATTCAGGCAACCCAGGGGAGATAATGGCATTGTGGCAATGCCGTATCTGGTAATGCAGAGCCCCAGTTCAATGCTCTGGAGACATGGGTTTGAATCTCACCATAGCAGATAATGAAAAATGTATTCAATGAAAATCTGGAATTATAATCATTTTAACCATTGTCATTAAAAGCCCATCTGGTTCATTAATGCCCCTTAGAGAAGGAAATCGATCGTCCTTACTTCGTAAAATTTACACATGACTCCAGACCCTTGGCAATGTCACAGAGGTCTACAGCACAGAAAAAATGCCCTTCAGCCCACTAAATCTGTGCCAGTCAAAAACAGCCACCTAACTTGTGTTTCCTGTGAAATGGCTTTAGCAAGCTATTCAGTTCAGGGGCAATTAGGTTTGGAAAACAAACACTGGCCCTGCCAGTGATGTCCAATTCCCATTCAAGAATAAAGGAAAGGAAAAAATTGATCATCAGATCTGTGACCAATTCTCTCCTTACCAATTGTCAGATGCAGAAACTGCAGGAGAGTTTTATATGGACTAATTCAGGTACATTGAAATTAGCTTTGATTTACTGTCTGTGGTGAGCTCAATGAGCCTGGAGGGTTAGCTCAAGCTCAGTATCCTCCTGACCTACATTGGTTCACTAGATTTAACTATATTATCTGAGCAGCTAGTGAAATTGAGGAACTCTTTATCCCAGAGTGCTGTTGAGATAGGGACTCAAAGTACATCCAAGATTGAGATTGATAGTTTGATTGATAGGGTTATGGGGAAAGGATAGGAAAGTGGAGATAAGGATTACTAAATCAGCCATGACCTAACTGAATGGCAAGATCACATTGGATGGGTCAAATAGTATCCTTCTGCTCTGGTGTCTTATAGTCAATTACAGTGGCCTCAGAGATCTGCAACTTTTAGCCTATGCTTCTCTGTTCGATTGAATGCAAAAAGAAAGAGATTGGAAAGTAGGAATGGAACTAAGCCATTCAGTCCCTTAAGTCTTTCCCACCATTCAATCAGATTATGGCCAATTTACACCTCCACTTCAGTTCCGAGCTTGGTTCCGTATCGTTTTATTAAATAAATGTATGATCTCAGTTTTGATATTTTTAGTTTTCGATGGTCAACTTATTTTTTGGGGTGGTGGTGGGAGAGAGTGGCATGGTGCAGAGTTCCCAATTTCCTCTAACGTTTATGTGAGAAGGTTCTCCTTGGTAATACAATGCCATAAAGGTGCCCATTCTAGAGGTCGAACTCATGCTTAGGTCAGAATTGTCCCTCCCGAGTTGGGAGTGTGCAAAGTGAGGAAAACTCCCCACTCCGCTAACCTGATTCAGGAGAAAGTGCCCTGGATGTTCGAATTTCCGTCCTGGAAGGCTGGGTGTTAATAGGAGTCCATTGTCTCCCCACAAGGCATTTTAGAGGCAGCTGCAGGGGCTGCCAGCTGTCAAGACAAGTTGTGTGAAAGACCTGCCTTGCTGATTGGGGAATTTAATGTGAATGCAAAACAAAATAAAAACAGAAAGATGCCCACATTACTCACGTCCCACAACTCCCCATGACCAATCGATTCCACTTCATGCCACTTCATGACCCCATCCACCACACCCCCATGGTCCCTCATACACTCCATGCCAACCTACCCATGCTCATGGCATTTTCTAGCCCCTATTCTGGGGTAGACAATGGGGTAATGATAATGTAATGACAAGTAAACCAGAAACCTGGACTAATATTCATGGAACATGGATTCAATCCCACCATGGGAGGTGGTTAAACTTAAATTCAATTAAAAGTTGTAATTAAAAAATTAGCAAATGAATGACTGTCATAATGTATGTCATAAAATGAAAATCTATCATAAATGTCCATTTGGGAAGGAAACCCATCAACCGTACCTGGTTTACCCTAATTGTGACTCCAGACCCAAAGCAATGTGTTTGACTCTTTAACTGCTTCAGGGCAATTAGGGATAGGCAGTAGATGTTGGCCTAGCCAATGAATCCATATTCCATGAACAAATAAATAAAAATTTAAATGTAGTATCAATTCATGCCACCCACTTTCTACCCCCTTGGCCCTTATACCCTCCATGCCAATGCAACCACAATCGACATAGGCAGATCTCAAGACCCATGCTAAGATGCAATAAAAGAAATCTGTTGCAGATTTCATTTGTTAAAAAGAGTCTCTCATTCACAAAAAAAATTCACTACATTTAAAGTCCTTCAATTGCTTAATCCTTTACGAAAACAAACAAGTTAATTAAATTGCTTAATTCTTGAACAAAGCAAGTAGTTATATTCATAGTGCCACATCAAAGACTTCATAAGCACTTTGAGTTGTCAATCAAATTACGTAACCCCGTAGAGATAATGATAGGTCGTAAAATAAGCCATGCAACCTCAATTCTAAGCTTTCAGAAAACTGAAAGTTTTTTTAAAAAATTTAAACACTTGGAGATTTACTGCCTTGACAGCTTCACAGTTCCAAGAAGCTTACAACTACAATGTGTTTTTTTCTCTCAGACAGTTGTGAGTCTTTGAAATTCCCTTCTTCAAAAGTCAGTGGATTTAGTAACTTTAATATTTTTAAGGCCGAATTAAATAGATTCTTGGTTTCCAAGGGAATGAAAAATTATTGGAGATAGGCAGGAACGTAGAGTTAAAATCAGATCAGCCATGATTTTATTGAAAGGTGGAGCAGGCTCAAAGGGCTGAGTGGCTTACTCTTGTTCCTTGTTTGTATGTGGGCAATTAGTTTATATATCTTTTACACACATTCATATTCACTTTTAACAATTCCATAGGGCACATGATCTGTCTCAATTGTACGTTTCCTCACTCAAAGGTTTCGAAGGAACCTATCTGAAAGTCTGTTTTACCTCACCAAATAATTCCAGCATCTTTAAACCTTCTCTTGAAAAGTGTAAAGCACACAAGGTATGCTTTGGACAACCCCCTATCAAAAAGTGGATTGGCTGGAAGGCAGCTCCTCTTTTAGATATGAATGACAGGTACGCAGACAACATTCTGCCTATGTATTACCATGAAACCATGCCCCAGGCCCCACCACAAAACCTCAGTGAAAATATTGGTTGTCGGGTTCAGGTTAGGCCTTTTAGAATTGGTCCTTCTAGAACCTGGGCTCTCGTGATATTTCAGACAAGTTGGAGATCCTCTCCCTTTCTGTGAAATGCAGTCCTTCATCTTATGCATCAGGCTGAAATCAATGG